GCCATTCCAGGGAAAGAATGTGAGGGCTGTGGCATCCCAGAGCATTGCCCTTTGGGACTAAAAGAAACCACCACTGCCTGCTGGAAGTGCAAGAAGAATTTAGGTAAGAAAAATATTATTTGATTTGGGTGGTGGTGAGGGTGCCAGGGCTAAGACCCTGATCCTAATGAAGAGTGGAAAGGAATTCCAAGCCTGGCATTTAATATGCATGACATGTCTGCTTTGCTGTCAACTTTTCCTTCCACCCCCTGCTTTTGTCTGTTTTTTCCACCTGTTGCAACTTGTCCTTATTCAGGCTGAGAGATGAAATTTTTCTTTGGTCTTGCATTGTGTCTGGCACAATGATGGCTGGATCCCCAACTACTCTTATCAAGACACTAAAGTGATCATGAATTGCAATAATACTGCACAGCCCATCAAGACTTTCCTTTTCACACACATGCACACATGCACATATATATATATGTAATTTTTTTTTTTTTAAATCTTGCTGTAGTTGTGGCACCTCAAGCCAGAATTCAAACATGGGAGAGATTTTCCAGGATCTGTCACAGGATTTCATGATTAACCACTGGGGTTTAAGTAAAATGTTCTTTAAGATAAGAAAAATATGCAAGTAGAAACAATAAAAATAATGCAATTCAATCTTATCAATTCAGGCAGTTCCAGCTTTTATGTGGCAAACAAGGAGATCAAATTGCATTTATCTAATATCACAGATTTTTTAAATGTCTAAAATATTTCATTATTTTGCTTTGGCAACCTAAAGCTGAGGAACAGATTACTGTTCCCACTACATAAGGAAATAACTGACAACAATTAGTATTTATTCTTGTTGCTTTTGTAATAAAAATAGAATTCCATCACTTTCAAGGAAACCTAAAATATTAATAAGAATGTGATAAACTGAGTAAATGTGACGCCATAAGGAAATGATGGAAAACAGGTTGGAAATATAGTGCTTTGGGAATGGATTGCATTATCAAGCTTGTGATTGTGCATTTTGACAAAAGCAGCTCTCAGATTGATACAGTAGCCAAAGGGCACTCTTCCTACTGTGAAGCTGTTTATTTCTATCCAGAAAAGGGAGAGTAGAAGGGGAATTGATCCCCTCTGACAATCGATAGTGACTCCAGCCCTGGCTCTTCCACAAGAGGTCACTCCTGAGTGACAGAATTCCCACATGATGGCCAAAATGCAAACAATGAAGTGACCATGAACAGAAAAAGAAATGCAGAGCTTAGTGGAGAGTGTGGAGTTGGTTTGCTTGTCTGCAATTTGCTTGACTGTTCTGACAGTCAAGACTGTTATTCAGAGCAGCCCTGCGGAGAAGGACTTGGCGGTGTTGGTTGAGGAGAAGCTTAACATGAGCTGGGTTCAGTGTGCACTTGCAGCCCAGAAAGCCAACTGTATCCTGGGCTGCATCAAAAGAAGCATGACCAGCAGGTCAAAGGAGGTGATCCTGCCCCTCTACTCTGCTCTCGTGAGACATCACTTGGAGTATTGTGTCCAGTTCTGGTGTCCTCAACATAAAAAGGACATGGAGCTGTTGCAGAAAGTCCAGAGGAGGGCCACGAGGATGATAAGGGGGCTGGAGCACCTCCCATATGACAACAGGCTGAGAAAGTTGGGGCTGTTCAGCCTGGAGAAGAGAAGGCTGGTGGAGACCTCATGGCAGCCTACCAGTATCTGAAGGGGGCCTGTAGGGATGCTGGGGAGGAACTCTTTGTTAGGGACTGTAGTGGTAGGACAAGGGCTAATGGCTTTGAAGTTAAACAGGGGAAGTTTAGATTAGATATAAGGAAGAAGTTCTTCACAGTGAGGGTGGTGAGGCACTGGAACAAGTTGCCCAAGGAAGTTGTGAATGCTCCATCCCTGGCAGTGTTCAAGGCCGGATTGGACAGAGCCTAGGGCAACATGGTTTAGTGTGAGGTGTTCCTGCTCATGGCAGGAGGGTTGGAACTAGACGATCTTAAGGTCCTTTCCAACCCTAACTATTCTATGATTTTATGATTCTATGACAAATCCTGTTGTCCATACACACAGTAAGATCTCCTGGGTTTTGGAAAGCTGAGTGATTTCTGGGAACTGTGCAATGCACAGATCCTTTCCTTACTTTCCATGCACCTTGAGATCATCTCCACTTTCAGTCTAACCCTGGTGCTTGGTTTCATGTGGTATAAAATTAACGTGTCAGACTACGTACCAGCAGACCCAATTATAATTTGTATTAATTAGGAGGAATTTTGGCAATCTTAGAAGGAAAAAAACCCAAAAACCTACAGTCTGAATGATAACTATATTACTTGGAATTATGAAGTCTGCCACTAATTTCAAAAATTATAGGTTTAGAACAACATTTATTTGCACAAAAAGGACCAGTGCTGCAAGGCAGTTTCCTTATACCAAATATGTACATCTTCTAAAAGGGGAGGTTGCTAGGGTAAAAAACATGTTCTTTCTGACCCAGCATTAGCTGCATAAATTAAGTCAGTGAAATAGTTGGCATCATAAAATAAAGACTAATCTCTTTCCATGTATTTGAGAGCAGGATCACGTTTTTACATATTTCAGTAATGTTCCCCAAGGCCATCCTTGGTTTCCTCTTCACTCAAGAAAACTTCAATTAGAACATGAGTTGCAACCAAACTGAATGAGAAGTCACTGAAAAGCTGCATGATCAAGACCATGAGCAGTCTGTGAACTCTGGAAATTAGCCTGGCAGTTTTTTCAGTGAAATCAGTGTCTACAGTTCAAAAACCGTAACAGAGAGTTATCATTTGTCTTTGTTGTGTAAGCAAAAGCAATTAGGATTAAACATAAAATCCAAATTCCTGCTCCTGTCTCTAGGGGAAGTCTCCCCAGTTTTAAATTAAAGAGTAAATTACTGGAATACTTAGGTTAGAATATACCTGTCCTTTATATACTTCTGCTGCTAAAAAAACCTAGCTACACATCAATATCAAGTCTAAAACTGGACATTTTTTTGAGCCCTTAAAATGTAGAGAAGGTAAATACAAATGAGTCTGAACTGTCTGAATATGCCTTTAAAGATTATTGTGAGGTTGGGGGGTTGGCCTGCTAACACATCACTTGCTTGTCTTCTGTGTTAAACTGGAGGAGTTTTGAGCCATCTTTAAAAAATCTCCTTTGTCTGCATTTGGCAGTGGCAGTAGTCAATAATACAAGAACACTATAAAATTATAAAATTGTTAAACTTTGTAAGAACTTTATAAACACACTTGCAGATATTTCACATATCTTCTCTGTGCTCTGCAGTCAAACTGGACAATGAAACGACCACCTGTTAACTGCTAACAATGTGTCATTACCAGTTCTCATGCTTTTTTAAAGCAATTTTGGCTCTAACTGCCGATAATTCTGGCTACGATACTTGTGTGAACATTAAGGGCACAGAAAGCCAAAGGCAGAAAACTGACAATACAGTTTGTGCTTAGACTACTAATAAGTAAGTGAATAATATGATTTTTCTAATTCCACATAATTGCTTGATCTCAAGGGGCCAAAAAAGAAGTTCTGCATACATATTTTAGAAGCAATCCAATCTATAGTATTTAAATGCAAGCTTTGATTCAGTGAGATTTCACAGCAGATATTTTCACATTTTTTAAGAGTTTAAATAGCCCTTAACAAAACAGAGGTTATTCAGGATTCTCTAAGGTTTGAAAAGAAATGTAGGTTAAGTATCTTCCACTATTCATATCCACTTTTTTTGTTTTGTCTGACAAATTATTATTTAAAGATATGTGAGAAGTATAAATAAATAAATAAATAAAGATTCCCCAAGTGTGGAGACAGTTTATGGGCATTTTGCTATTAGCTACAATAAGAGCAGAGTCAGACCCTCAAAACTTACTATGCTCTCAGTCTTATTTTTCTTCCTCTCAGAAATGCCATGTAACACACAGTACAAAGATATTGGGACAATTTTTCACAGGCTACATTCAGGTTAATTTATATTTTATAACAGAAAGAAAAATCTTTTAAAAACCCAAATCTCCAAGATAATAAGAAAACAACAACAATAAAAATCTTTGGTCTGCAAAAGAGACTACTAAATGAATATCTGTATTTGTGTGTGTACATGCACATGCATGTGTGTGCATATATTTATGATTGTGTGGATAAATCTAATTAAAAATAATGATGTTGTGTCTTTTTAATACAGTATCAAAGGCTTTGATCCTGCACTGGAACACATGCAGGCAAATTCTTATACAGCACTTTCATACCTATAGGTGTCTTATACTAGCATGCGAGTCTAAAGCTGTTCACAAAGCAGAATGTGAATCTCCCGCCAAATGAAGAAGAACAAAAAATCCCAAAGAGAGGGTGAAATTAAAAAAGTGCTGAATGAGTGATTCAGGGTCACCACCAGCCTCTGCGTGTACTGCCCACAATATCATGAACATCTCAGCACAAACTGGAAAAGGAAAGTCTCAGTGAAGTAAAACACATCCCTGCTGGTTTTAGATCATTTTATTTTCTAATCACACTGATAACATCGACCTTGAACCCTGGAATTTACCTGCTATAAAATTATAGATATATCACTGATTGTCAGCTGCAGAGGACATGATAGATCTTTCAACAATTCAATGTATAAATATACAACAGACAAAATTACTCTGGCAATTTGAGGTATTTACTAAAATGGAAACAAAGCAACTGCAACAGACCATTAACACAGGACTCATGTTGCTTATTTTTAAAAATAAATGGTTTAAATAAACGTTTTTCCTCCTAAACAAATTTATTTTGCTTAGGAGAGAATGTCATCCTTTAAAAGTGTGGAGCTAGTAACTATCTTTACTTAAATGCAAGTTATGTATATCAGCACAGAACACATTGAGCTTTAAAATTCTCAGTGATCTTCCTTACATTCTGTGTGTAATAAAAATTATCTCACCCTGTAATGGCATAGTTATTTAAAAAGAAAAAAAAGAGGGAAAAAAAATCAGAAAAGAAAAAAGCCTTACTTAAAGATTTTCTGTGTTCAGGCTTTGGTTCTTTGGATTCAGTGTCTAAGCTATTCAGTAATTCGATGCTGGAGGATCTTCTGAGATTGAACTCCAAATTTCTCGATGTACAACTCTGTTCTTTTGGCTGGGAAAAGAATATATGTATATATGTGTGTGCATGATTTTAGTAAAATTATTATTTATAAGACTGAAGCGAGAGATTACAGAATGCCAGTACAGAATCAGAAACTAACAGACACACACAGAGCAAGTGATGCAGTGAGTATATAATTTAAGGGAAGTGTAATGAAAAATTTGTCATATGGCAGAGCTTTTACGGCCCTCACAGAATGGTCTTAATTTCTGAGATAAATTCCCATTTAAGTGAGGAAAACAAAAGGCCTACTTTAGGCTTTAGAGACTGAAATTATTTCCACATTGCAGGCTACTTCCAAATGCTTCCAAAGAGAAAGGTTGTTTAAATTGCCTTTCTGGTTTAGATAGTTACAGTAAATGTTCTTGCAAACACAACTGTTCCAAACATCTTTACAAATTCAAGGTTGTTTTCTGCTGGTCTAAGCTTAGGAAAGAGGTGGGGAGTTCTCTTGCTCTAATTCACTGGGATACAAAATGACAATAAGGGATTATTAACAGAGAAAAGAAGGAAAAAAAAGAAAAAAGGAGGTGATATTTGGCTAATATCACATCTTGTCCCATGGTGTTTGGTCAGGTAAGATTTAGCTGTCCTAACACCTGGAAAGCTGCAAGGCTTTACACGCTCATTCAGAGTTTAAAACTGAAATAAATGACATGTATGATATGGTCGCCAAGTACTTTGTGGGGGCATACTGTTCTGCACACACAGCAAGGGCCAGCCTTCACCAGAGCAAGCCCTGCCTTTTGGTACCCAAACCACTTACAAGCTGTGCTCCACCAGCCGCAGATGCTGTGGTTCACTGCACACAGAGCTACTGAGGCCACTGTATTTCCTTAATTGCAGTGAAAAAATTAAAGAAGTCTATTTGATATTTAGCTGAATAATGTGTGTGTGGGGGGAAGAGTATTGTAAGTCTCCATGGAAAACTCCACCCCAAAATCTTCAGTAGGATACCAATATCCTCACACACCCAATGAAATGCACAATATGAAGACATACATCATCAGATCAAACTTTCCTTGTCTGATTATAGCCTCAGGGTAATATAATGTCTGTAGCTCTTTAAGGAAACAGTAGCTGTGTTCAGATTAACCCTTTCAAAGAGGCTGCCTCTGCCTGCTCTGCCAATTCCATTGCAGCAAAACCTCTGGAAAAAATGCAAGAAATGAGGATATTTTTCTCTCACCAGATTCTGCAGTGAACAAGGAAAGTCAGTGCCCTCTAAAAACACATGTTCTTGGATCAGGCAGGGATAAGAGGAAGGCATTTGGAGTTTGTACTGAGAGTGGCAAAAAGAAAGAAAAAGCTACAGCTGAATCTGGTTTGGTAATTAAAAACTGTTTTAATAAAATGCAGCCCTGCTTACTTCTAGTAGAAAACCCCCAGCCTTCCTGGGAGAATAACAGCAATCAGTTACAAAGGAATATTATTTGCTAGTGTTATTCTTGTGAATAAGTAATACGAAAATTCATAAAAGGCTCAAATGTATTAATAGTTCTATTGAAGATTATATACTGTGGGCTGCATAAACAGAAAATGCAAAAATTCATTAGTTAAGTGCTTGTGTGCTTTTATAACCCTCAGCAAACCAATGTCCTTGTTATTTCAGAAATAAATGTAGTGTTCCATTTCAAGGCAAGAATCAAGTGACATTTTTGTTCAACAACCTTGTTTATCTGACATTTTTTAGTAGATTTGCATACATATTTTTGTATCTTTCAGAAAAAGGAATGTCTAGCTAGCTGCTGACTGTCTAAAACCTGTAGAGATGCCTAAGCAAATGAAGTTGAAATTGCTACATCTTAATTAATAAAGGTAACAGCCAAAACAAATACATACCAATCTGTCAATTGCATTTTTGATAGCGTGGAACCAATCCAATATGAGAAAGTCGATATCCGACTGGAGGAGAAACTCATTTCCTGACACTGTCGTGATCTGGGGAGGGCACGGGACACACAGGTAAGAAAAATACACACCGGACAGATTTTCTTCTATTTTCTCTCCTACGCACCCAAATGCTTTTCCTTTGTACCCAGAATTATCTGCTGGAGTGCTGAGTTACTGAGGAGTTTTGAACCTCTGTCTGAAAACTGTTTGGAGTATGTCACAACAAATGAGATATTGTCTCAGCAATGCAACCCCTAAACACAAACAGTGTAAAAGTGATGTTAAAAAAAGTTAAAAAAAGCCAGGAAATCCAGTGTTACAAGGCAAAGCTCAAATGTAAATCAAAGCACCCTGAAAAGAATGTAATATGAGAATTAATTCCTGTTATTTTCAGTTTCCATTTCTGTTTTGGCAATATTACTTTTATATCTGGTACCTGCATTCTCAAATTTACACATTTATTATATACCTGTAATTCCAGAGTCTACTTTCAGTAAAATTAATGATGTCACTCTTTTTTACATTAAATAATAATAATAAAAAAATACTTTCAAAGATGGCTGTAGCAGAGTAATTAGGAGCCCGTTTATCATGAAAAAAATTCTCCAGTTTGCCTGAATGGAAGTCGATTTACATTTTTGACCCACTCACTGGGAATATTTATCAAAAGCATATTCAATCCCGTGATAATGCTGTTTCACTGCCTAACATTATTTTGTGGAAATATGCATGCATATTCTGTTTATCTGAATTTCAGCAAACCATGTTGATAGTAATATTACATCACTTTTATATATAACTATATACACCAGAGCAGATATCCAGGTATTTTACACAGCAGGTCAAAGCAATCATTTTACAGATGTCAAAACTGAGGCACAGAACTGTGCAGTGATTTCCCCAGGATTGTTCAGATGGTGCTTGAAGCATGATCCAGGGCACAGCAGTTCCCTGTGTTTGCAGATGAGTGAACGAAGGGTTACATTTTGCAAGGGGCAGGAGCTTGTCCTGCCCACAGTCCAAAACAGCTCAGCTCCTGCCAGCTCCGAAACCAGTTTTTTCTTATTTTTTGTTGTTAAGAATTGCCTGTGCAAAACTCAATAGCATCTGCATGTGGGAATTGCATATTAAATTTTGGTATTTTGAGGATGCAGGTTTAATCTGCTTATTGGGACATGGTATTACTCAGGACCAAAAACTTTCCAGGTATTTTTTGGAGAATGGTTGAACACAGTGGACAACAGAGATAATTTTCTAACCAAAGTGTGAGGAAAAGCAGAGCAAAGCCAGTTAGACCTATGACACAGCCTATTTATGTAAATACATCAACCTGAAGTGTTACTGCTTCACTGCATCTGTCCTATGTCAAGAGTTTTTACTATAGCCTAAAAGAAACAACAGCTCCTCACCAGCCTAGATACTGCACGCATCTTTCTTAAGACTGAAATTCTACCAGGAAAAAAAAAAAAAGAAAGGACAAAAGAACTTAGTGTTTTCTTAATTGTTCTATAACCTTCTCTTTATTGAGGAAGAGCCTGTAAAGAAGGCTTCCAAAGTCATCAGCATTAAGGAAAATCCCATCAGAGCAGCTCCAGCAGAGACATCCTGTGAGAGTGCTGCAGATAATGTGGAATGGTCCCTGGTGCAGGCTGAGGCTGCCTGGCTGCAGATGTTCATCCCATCCCATCCACACCCATGAAGAGCAGACCTCCAGCCACCCTATTGTTCCCCATGTGCACGGGAGAGTTATTTATTGGGGAAATTTTAATTCCCTTATTAGTCCACAATCATATGTTAATACCTATTCACATATTCACTGTTCCCTCTATGAAAAGAAAAAATAAGTCAAAATTCAACTGAAGGTGAGCAGTTGAAAGAGCTGACCTCTAGTACTCACAGCTCAAAGTTTGGGTTCAAAATGTATTATACTATATCACAATTTATTAACGTATACATGCAGATATGAATTAGACTAAACACAGGCAACAATTCAATCGAATGTCTCTCTCCCCGTATAAACAAATCATTATTAAAATTATAAAATGGAATAACATTTTCAAAGTAAAAGCAGCATATATAATTAGATTTAGTGTATTTTGAAGGCTTAAAAAAGGCACAATATAGTTCAGTCTTCCGTTCAGTAAATTCAGGCTTTATTAAAATACAAGTATTCAGCACTGCATAAACATTTGTACTGTATGATATGCAAAAGAGATACTCCATTACTAACAAGACCAAAGCAAAATACATGTTGAAAATTTCTTTGTCTGAATGTGTTATTTTGATAATCATATATTATCAGTGTTTTATGAGCAAATCTGTAAAAACAGATCATAGAATGGAGGGAAGAGAATTAATTTAAAATATAGTTTCTGTAAAATACAGTTCAAGTCCTTTTTCTTTCTTTCCTCAGACTAATCTTCAGAGTAACTAGACGGTTTCAAGAAGACTGCTACTGCTCTCTACAGTTTAAATGCATCCACTCCTTAATTACAGTCAGTAATTGACTTTGTTCTGCTCCATTCCAGTCATTCACAGGAAAGCAGTTCCAAAGGCTTTGGCTGGTAAATCCCATTTAATGTGCAGGTTTCCTATCCCACTTTTATGTATTACCTCCTTAGGATTTCTGATAAATGGTTCTTGGAATGCATTGCTAAACCATATTTGCACTTTGAACAATCGAATTTTCAACACCCTGGGAAAAGACATCAGTAAAGAATGCTAGCTTTGACTAAACCTTGTGATTGAACAATTTATGATCACAGCCTTAAATGATGTATAACTAACAACAAGTGTAAATTGTTCAATATTAAGGCATGCTAACACACCATCCCTGTATCAGGAACTGCTGAAATGAACAGAGGGACTGGAGAAACAAATGGAAGACAAATCTCAGGAAAAAAAGAGTAGGAAAAGAAAATTATGTGTTCTAGATAGAGTTGCCAGTCTCCATTGTGCCAGGTACTTCACTTATTTACTGAAATCACTCTCTTTGCCATAATTTTTACAAAGGCTACAGTCTGGAATTGGCATTACCTTACCAAGCAGAATTATGATGTTTCTGTCGGCAATAAATACCCTCAAGGAATGACAACTGACAATAATTCTCTTATTTGCAAAGGGTGTGCCCTTCAGGTTGCTTACAGAAGAGCCAGAGTACCTGGTTTCTCTTTTCCTTGTCATAGCACTTTGGAAAAATCACTTCAAAGGCTGAATCCATTCATGTGCTAGTTTTACAATGAAGTGTATGTAGTACAGTCCTGCTGTTAAACATTGATCCTCTGAAAATATTGGCTCACTGCAGGTAAATGCATGTTAAATTCAATACACTGCTGGGCTACCAACAAAGTGTGGGATGGGGAGCAGGTATAAAACACTTTTTATGATATTCTACTTGTGGCTTATTAAGGGTTTTTCTTGTTACTTTTTAAAGCTGCAAATGGAGAGGTGAGCTTCTTTTGCATGTCACCATAATGACATACCAAGGTTGTGTTCAACAAAATCCTATGTTGTTAAACAAAAGGATACCTGTATAACTCCAGGAAATACTGGACACTGTAATTAATACTACTGTCATTTTATAATACACAAATATAACTTGGATCCTACCCAGGATCAGCAATTCTTAAAAATCCTACAAATCATGTATTTTTCCTGTGCTAGGTTGTGCTCTGGGACATGCTACTGTGCCATGCATGTCTGTGTTCCTCCAGGACTTCCAAACCTTTACACATAACCTGGATCACCTCTGTCTCAGAGACTATTCCCTTTCACGGTATACCTACACCAATAAAAAACAGGAGATAAAAGCTACAAAGGTGCCATGGAATAAGACCAGCATCTTCTGCCCATTGTCTTCCCGCAAACTCTGGTCTGGGGATTACTGCACTGTTGTGAAAAAAAATCTTTCATGGTATCCGTCTAGTTCTTTACCAATATATATTTTTATAGATACTTTAATTCTTTACATTTAATTCCACTGCAGAATAAGGATGGAGGCAATTTTAAGAATGTTACCAATAGGCACTCCCTCTATGAAGATATGGAAAAGAGCAATAAATTCACACAGCAAAACCAAAATACAGAACTGTGCTATTGATTCGCTCACTTCAAAGTGTACTTATGCTTGTCTGGTGGCTATAACTATTATTTGCAGTGATGAACTTTTTTCAGACAATGCCAAGAACAAACCTTCATACAGAAAGTAAAGAATCCTATGTGGAAGAAGAAATGCAGCAAAAAATCCTTCACAGTCTGTACCCTGCAGCAAGCAAAAGGAAACAGAGGGAAGAGCTCAGGAAGTGATGGCTCACATATAGCTCATATATGGCCACCAAGAAAATACACAGTTCTTATTTCAGTTAAATACTGTCACAAGATATTGTTCAACTCTCACTGATGTGGACAGAGGGACATACAGAAAAAATGCAGGACTATCAGGGTGAAGCTTCATATAACCTCCCACAGTGGTTCAATGTTGGGTTATTGGACACTTCTGGACAATGAAACCCCACCAGATGCTAATCCAATGCAGAATCCAGTGTAGAAAACCTAAATTTTGATATCACCTCAGGCTCCCACAGCTTGTGGTGAACACTAAGTGATTTAAACCTGGATTGATAGATACCTCTGTGTGCAGAAATTCAGTAAAATGTGTTCCTCTTGTTGCACTGTGCATTGGGATTGCTGCCCTTGATATGTGTAGGAAAAAAGGAAATGTGAGTCGCTGGAGCATTTCTAGCTCAAAAGCTAACACTCTTCCCCCTTCCCACTGCTCCCTTTATCTCACCTTGCTTACTCACAATTTTTATTTTATATTTGATCATCGTGTTCATCCTGTTTCCCCATAGCAAAGAGAAATATAGGCTTTCCCTTCTATTTTCCTGAGATATTTTTTCAGGATGGGATCTAGCCGCTCAGCCCATTTAACACAGGACAAACCAGTTTCTATCCACATGGCAGCTAACAGGGATGGGACAGGAAAAGTGGGAAAGGAGTCAAAAATAAAGCGGGGAAAAAAAAAAAGAAGAGTGGGAATATTCTCTCTT